CCTCCTGCCCAGAAAGCCATCTCCACACCATAACATGACCACCACACCCTCTTGACTGCAACATGTCCCTGTTCCTTCTCAATTTCGCTGGTAGTCATGCTGTTTCCATCAGCTTGGAATGTTCAGACAGAACGGCTTTCATCAGTAAAGACGACCATCTGCTGCACTTTGACACTCAGTCAATGTCCATCGAAATCTCTGATGACGATGTTGGGCTGTCAATAACTGTTTTCTGTAATACCTGTAAACTCTTCCTTGAGCCCTGAGTTGATTAGCCATAGCCTCCAAAGCATTTGTCACTGATGATGCAACTAATAGTAATCAATTGTGGAAATGCAACATATGCATATATTTGCCGTAGTCACACTTGTCTGCCTGTTCTTGCACTGTCTTCTGTGGTGCTGTGTTTTCCTTTCTCTATCGGTGTGGGTGTCTCGCATGCCATCCGTATCATTTATATACCCTGACTGCACGTGTAGTTTCAGCTGCCCAAGTAGCGAGTGTATTTCACTTGTTTTTCACATGTTTTATGTCTACATGTATTGTAGATGTACTTGGACTATGTGTTTCGACAAGAACAAACCATTGTATCAAGATTGTATACATCATGTCTCTGGAGTTTGAAATTCGCTCCATATTCACTCTTAACGTGTAAGCGAGTCAACCCCAGCACAGAGTGCATGGTTCAAGTGTTTACCCTTGAAAGACAACTTTGTTCCTTTACCCACCCACAATTAACTGTAAACCTGACAAAAAGGATAGCTACTTTCTCTTCTGCGGAATTTTGTGTGAATACTTTCAAGAACTAACATCACCATGTAATTAAACACAGCGCGATTTCTTGATAACTACCCACTGAATATGTGACCTCTCATAACAAAATTAAATATATACCTGTGACTTAACACAGCAAGGTTACTTGATATTGCCTCAGTAAATATGTGACGTCACACAACAAACCGTCACCATGATTTGACGTTACCCTTCCAGCATGGGTTGTCTTGACACGCAATCAATTCTGCCTGTTTAGATGTTGTTATCTAATGGTTACTTTGACGATGGAGAGAAAGTCGTGTGCACGATACACAGCAAGTATAACAATTCCCGTAACAAAACGCCATTCATCACCACAATGGCATCAATACAATCAATGTTGGAATATTGATTCGGCCCAAGGAACTACATGGTTCTGCTTGGACTATGAAATATTCAAGCCATGGGCTTTCCACACAAATGAAGTTGTTCAATCACGCGAAACAGAAGGTACATTACGCACTTGAGTTCAAGTCAGCATTGACAGACAATTTACTACTGGGGGGGGGGGGAGAGAATTAGCGTCCTCAGAGCAGCATACAATCTGTCAGACACTTCATTACGAGATGACCAAAATTTAAACAGATTTGTAACAAAAAACTTTGAAACGAAGCAACACTATGTAAATAGCCCTTGCCTGAATCCCATAGGGAGACATGCAGAAAATTGGTGCACTGATGAGTAGCTCCACGCCAGCAGTCTGCCACTGCCACCAAGGACTCAGCTGCTGTAAAACCATTTACCAGGGGAAGCAACTGAGCGGGACATGAGACTCCCCTTCTATCTAGGCCAGCGGACATAGTGAGTTAGTGAAAATTGCTAATATCGTATGTCTAACAACACATATAGCATACTAAGAGTGATGTTCAGAAAATCACTAAAATTCCACTCCAATATCACATTCAAGGGGAAAATCTGACTGTTGAGATGAAATTTCATATTCTGTCATATAGTTTATTTTATTTTCATTATTACAGCGGACATAAACTTTGAGACAATGTTTATACACATACCAAAGGGAGTGTGTTAAACTGTTAATCAATTTCTTCAACCTAAACGAGCAGACAGAAAGAGGCAAATGTCCACCATATGCCGTTATTTTGACGTTCCGTTCGCATCCCCGAGACACCAACGACTATTCTGGTTTTTAGGCAACTAAAGCAGGGGCGGATACAGCATTTTGAGAAAGGGGGGTGCACACTATTGAGAAAAGGAGGGGTGCACACTTCATTTTCACCCATATTCAATGGTCACTTAACAAATTTTCAGCACAAAAGGGGGGTGTGCGCACCCCTGCAACCCCCACACACACACACAGCTGCATCCGCCTATGTACAGTACATACAATACAAAGATTATTGCTCCTTTGTTGTCATCTATGTTTGGTGTTATAAACCTAAACCTTATATTCATCACCATTCATTTGATGCTCATTTAATGAATTTATAACATGCATAAATAGTGGTAACACAACTCAGTGTTCCTGACAAAGGTTCCCATTTGACATTTCTTGTGTCCGGGTTAATTACTCAATCTTGTTTATTCAGGTCTGACGTAGCAATGCTTTACATGTTATGTAATATACAGTTGAGTTCCTCAAAACATCCATCGAAGAACTAACCGATAATAATAACATGTCGGGAGAAGATAGTGATAAATCACACAAACCTACTTTCGAGATAATCGCTTTTGAAAGCTTGGTCATTCGTGAAAAATATTAGTGTGACTTTTGAAATAAACTAAAACTATTTTGTAATCATTTATACTTCTGGTGGTGAGCAAAAAAAGACACAGTATGTTTTTTTACAGGAAATTATGTTTTTATGTGCTCGAAGATACCTACTGTAAACATTTTGTGTTGGTTATCACTTTCATGCCAAAACGAGTTTATCATACTCTTTCTCAAAGATCGGTATTTGTATTTGTGTTAACCCACATCAGATTCACATTAATAAGGAAATGGACGACTCTGTCGTTATAAAGAAATATAAATATACTAGTGGAAGTTAATAACTGTGCATTATTTGATGTTATGCTGTTTTTTAATGCAACAGGATAATAACATGATTTTTGATGCTTTCCTAAATTAATGTTTAACTGTTGACAGGATAAGACCGAAATCTGTATGATTTGACACTAGGCATCGTGACACGCCCTTGAAGAGATGTGGTGTCAAAATAATGTCAGTTCACAAATTCAGTATCGTGTGTGTCTACCATTGGCGTTGGTGCAGGCTGGACAACGACGATTCATAGACGACACTAAGCGATTGAAGAAAGCTTGGGGAATGTTCCATGACTGAACCAACGCTTGTCCCAATTCAGCAAACGTTATTGGCTGATTCTGTGCTTGACGTAAACGTCGCTCCATTTCATTCCTCGATAGGGGACATGTCCGGAGAAACAGCTGGCCAGAGAAGTACCGGAATGTTCAGCTGTCTCAACACGAGCGACATGTGGACGGGCGTTTTCTTGCTGAAGCTTGAAGTTACGCCTATGTCCTTCAATGAACGGCTGCACATGAGGTCCAATGATCTCATCCCTGTATCGCTGACCTGTCAGAGTGTTGTGCTCCCTCAGTCGGAACTGATTGGACGTACGGCCGGAATGGTCCGAGCAATCAACTGGCAGTCTGGAATCGATTCCTTAGATGGGTCAGTCGAATGTGTTTGTCTTTCTGACATTTTGTCACACCGTTCCTCCCATGTTCCCATTATGTTGAAAACGTCTCCATAGAGATGAGATCGTGTTTCGATGGACACCAAAATGTCTGGCCACTTCATTTTGGCCCATTCCAGCCTCCAGCATAGCCACGGCGTGGCGACGCTGATGACATACGCGCAATTTAGGTTGAAATTAACGTGTTTTCCTCAACATTCAGAGGCTAGAGAATAATCAACCGATCTCCAATTTTCAACATCAGGTGTCAAAAAGCATGCAAAAAGTGAAAACGTTTATCACGTTTGCCACACGCGATGCGTGAGATCAAATTTCCTGCAAAGTGCATTGCTACATGTTTATTTTGGGTAAGTAAAAAAAAATACAAAGAAATACTGAGATCACTGTCACAGATGGATGTTGGTTTACAATGACATCCCTAAACATGTGGAATTTTATTTGTACCAAAAATGTGAAAACCCATCTTTTGTTGTGTATTTCAGCTTTAGTGATAACCAGAGCACACAAAGTTTTAAGTAAAGTGTTTCTAAGTGCATATGATCTGTTTAGTCATAATAGAAGAATTTACATGAAAGGCTTTCCAAATTGGGTGGATAGTGGAATATCACAATTCATAAACTAATCAGTTTGGCAAGTGCATGATAACCCACTCGAAATAAAGAGTGAAAAAGTAATATTTTTTAACATTTAAATGTCAAGAAAATGTCAGAATCAGATCCTGTGAAGTTTCTTCATAGTTGGGACCATGGGTCCAGTCATCACCTTCGCTCTGGTAGGATATTTCTCTCAAAACATATTCATCAGATAGCATGTGTCCTGCCATGATTTTGTGGCTTGTCATGGTCTTGCCAAATGGGCACCACATGCATGTGCCTTATCCTACATATAGGCATGATGCAACTCTGCACCTTGCCAAGTTGGGGGAGATAACTCATGATCACATAGTAATACTGAACCTTGGAAACCACTAAATATAATTATCTCGAAAAACCACGATATGTGGGTTGTCACTATTTTACCCCGACCCATTCAATTTAATTAATTAATTAATGCTATTCTGAACAATGGATTTGTCAATAGTTAGTATTGTGTATGTAGTTTTACCCTTTTTTAAGACGGAATACACCCATATCCTGTCGTCAATTCATCCCATATTTGGGGTTGTTTCACCCCTAATCAATAGTTGCTTGACCCAACTAATTGAGTATAAATAATGCTTAAATATGTTACTTCTTTTGGGCAATGTTTTTACAAAAATCAGGTAGGTGCCACTGTGACATCAGACCTGTACACAGTCCGTCTCTGTGTTCCAGCATGCCGTCAGGACTAATAATAAGGTAGGCGCCTGAACAAGGAGTGTGGTGGTGCTGATTGTCATTTTATGTTCTTGTGCACATGGGACATGGTTCCGAATAAAGGCCTGAATAGAGAGAAGTATTCTATTTCCGTTATCTAATGCATATCACATAAACCTTGCGACCAATGCACACAGCGACGCTGACTGCTTCATGTAGTTAGATACAGGCGTCCATTCTTATTCCATTGAAAGTATGATACAAACTCGCGACTTCATCTGTTGACTACCGCAAGCTCGCACACATCTCAGTATTGACCATATGCTTCGTCTTTTGTTCGACCGATCAATATAAACTGCTGCATCTTTATTAAAAACAAATCATCGAGAAGACGACAGAAAGTCTCCAGCATTGAAAATGTATAATGCATGTGTGTGTTAAGGGTGCTTAGTGAGAATACTTACTGAATGATCCAATACAACTTGATCTTTCTGTTGAGACTGCTCAGAAAACAACCGACGATGAGAGGAACGTTTCTACTTCTACTTTTACCAACTCTTGCAGTAGCTGAAACATGTGACCCCTTTTCGGCAACAAAAGCTGATGCTTATAACGACAAAAAAATTCCCAATCGGAAATGTGGACTGTGAACAATCTGACCAAGGCTGAATGTATGTTCGAGTGTCTGAAGGACAAATATTGTGTCAGCTTCCACTTCAGTCCTTTGGGACCAATTTGCGTGGCTCTACGGGAACGGTTTGAGGGATCCAGCGTTGCCTCCACGAACGCCCTTGGTTATCACCTCTATCAAACTGATAAACGTAAGTAATGCTCCAATGTTTTAAAAAAAATAAACTGTACTGTTTTTGTGCAAGCGCTTTTGGAGGCATCACATTGGAACTAATACGGTACCATTGCCCGATTCATTAAAGCATCGTTGCATCAGTTTGAATGTAATTATTGCACGACAATAATGGATACACATATGTCGAGTTCAGTATTGTTCTTGGTATCCAAAGAACACTTTCCTGTGTTGACGAATGTATTGGTTGTACCCAAAGAGGCAGCATGGATTGAAATTCTGCTAAGTGCTCGTTGTCTTCGTTAAACACGCTCAAGGACGCAGTATCCACGCCGTTGAGATATCCATGTCCTCTTTACGGATTTACATTCTCCCAAAAAAAACTGTGATGAAATCCAAGTTGCTGAGAAATGAAACCAACATTCATAATCATATTTTGTCATCCTACCAATGTTTGTGTACATTTGAGTACAGTAATCCCTATTGTCGTTAGCTTGTCTGTCGTAGTCCATAATGAAGTTTCCATTGTAATCTTTTCTGGGAGTCGTTCGACTATCAGAATATCGCTTAACTCGCTTAACTCGTAGTGCCTGAAGGAATATGTGACACTGTATTGAGGTTTGCAGACGTCGATTCTTTCAACAGTGGGATATTGATAGCATGTTGCTTTATGCGAGCTTGTATAAAAAACTTTGAATATCATGATATCTAACACTTCTAACAATAAGTAAAAAATAACATCAATGACATTCTGTTCCAGCCACTGTGGCCTAACATTCAGCTTTAAGAAAAACATACTTTTATTAACACCGGGGAATGTTCTATGGTAAATACATACTGGATGAGACTGGTATAGTGTCATTGCAAACTTCAAAGAGAACCTGAAAAATTAGAGGCACCTTTAAAGACCATTACAATCTATATCGCTGTGTATCTTCTTGTCTTTAACATTGCACCAATAAAATATCATCCATACTGAGGATATTTATAGCATATCAAACTTGACATGAAAGGGAAAGACTTTTGTATCCTCTTTATTACCCACGTTCTAAAAAGTGAAACCATCGTTAAAATAAAGCAATATTTTGCCTTCCTATATAGAACCGCACAACGCGGATTAACACATCATTGGTGATTAGAATGTCAACCGCTTCACTCCAGGAAAATGTACGCTGCGTATAGGCGATGTAGTTCCTTTAACTAGTCAAGAAAATAAGCAAATTGAGACCGAATGAAGTCGGAATCAAAATGTAATTATTTACAATTGATGATTTGGTGGCCTTCGTTTAGAATACAGCACCACAAACTTTGAAAATACGTCATAATACCCTTTTACGTAATTTTATATGATTTTGTTCCAAAGCACGTTCTCCAAACAACGCCCAATGACGCCTACATAGCAACAAGGTTGTCCAGCTCAGCGAATGCGTCTAATCTCCGCTCACTGATGTTTCATCTCTACTAGCTTTGTCATTGCATAAGCCCAAAGATGTTGAGAATTTCCAGTAGTTGTTTATCGGTGGATGCGCAATTTTTTGCTGGCACCAGTTTAAAAAAAATCGTTTTTCACTAATACGCTCATAGTCATATATAATTGTATAACGGGGTGCTGAGGTGTCATGTTTTGTGTATTTTTGCATTTTGTATTTTTTAATTTAATAGGAATGCGTTATACCGGTCACATTCTGCCATATTCTACTTTTTGCAGTTTTGGTCAATTAAATTATTTAAATATATTTTATATTTCGGTTTCAACGTAAATATTAGGACTAAATGAATTATAGATGTGAACTAGTTTACATATATATTTTGTTTTCATTCATTAATTTGCATCATTACACAGAAATGGAGTTTATTAGTATTTTTTTTCGAAGCGGTAAGAATGCATTACACGTCAGCCATTTTCGTGCCGGTTCGGTGAATGTATTCTATTCATAAATATTATTTCGAGGGGTTAGGGTTTAGGGTCTAGGGGTATGTTTAGGGTTAGGGACCAAATCCAATATAGTAGGTAGATGTCCCGTGTAATGCATGAGTATCATACCATTTGTTGTTTTTCCTATTGCATTTTTAATATTTTTTTCACACAAACACGGGAGCCAATAAACGTCGAAAGTACATGATGAAATGGTTTAATGTAGAAATTGTAGGCTAATGGAAATTGGCCTGGAACTTGCACTCCCGCCACTTACATACGCTACATTTGTTCAGTAATGATTCGAAGGCTAACTCACCCTCGTGCCGTCACTAAACATGCTCATGACACCATTCATTCCTCAGTGCGATCATTTATCCCTTATCAGTGTCCTTACAGTGTTCCCTACAACACCTTTCTGTCACAAAATCATCCGATGTTTTTTTTGTCTGTTTATTTTATTTTATTGTTTTATAAAAGCACGTCATTCATGCATGCACCGAGAAGTCCGCGTCTGATGCCTGACGTCAACACTCGTTTTCATATCTGCTCATTCCACACCACACGGAATCTTTGAGATTACGGAATGGGACGAGTGTGCCAAATGGCATTGGAGCCATTTGGCAATCGTCCGTAGATTAAAATCACGAGACACCAAGTCTACCCAAAACCTTCGGTATTGTCCGTGACCTATTCGACTCGTTCCGTTCATTTCCGTAACGTCAGAGCAATGCCTAGATAAATTTGCACGTTATGTAACAGTGTGGACGTAGCTCAGTCGGTTAGCTGTCCGAAGGTCGCGGGTTCGCATCCGACGGATTCTTACAAACTGGTTGCTTGCTTAGTGTCACTTAACTACGTGACCTAAATCTCGCCTGAACGTCTGTCGGACGTCACTGTCGGCCTAGTCGTCATGTTGAGAACTGTTCACAAACAAGCAGATAAAACGAAGCATTAGGAGCGGCACACACAACAGCAGAATAACAGGGAACTGTATGTCTCAAATATACTATTCGAGAAAAAGAAACGCATAACCCATGAATCTGTTCCGAAAATGTATTTTGAAACATGTATGACTCGTCCACAAACAGACCTTAGTACATGATTTTTTGCATCAGTTTAGAAGAAGGAAATGTCTATACAACCAAGTGGATAATTTTATAAAACGGAGCCGTTGAGCGCGATGGTGACGACGTAGCACGGGCCCGACGTCGGATCTCCTGGCTCTCAGTCCAATCTCTCTCAACCTGTTGCGTATAGTTTGACTGGATATCCTCCGAAGTCCAGGCACCCTGGCTGCTGTGCTCTCACCCATGGCAGTACGATCACGCAAATGTAGTACCTGGATGTACCAATCTTGGGCTACAGTGGTGACTGTGGTGACTGCTCATACATAACGCCTATGCGTTTCTTTGTTTCTTTGGGGATACTGTAGTTGTGGTTAATGTTCTTCATCGGAGGACGAGTCACTGTAAATAATACGGCGACGCTTGTCGGAAGACGCCAGTGACGCCTGCTCATGTCGATGTTTATGTTGAAGACTCCACCGTAAATTGGCCCTGCAAACACTGCCTACAACCTCGAAGGATTTCAAGCCTATTGTGTAATTTCATAGAAGTGTTCTCGTTTTACATGCTCTCAGAAGGTGTGAAAACCTCTTAATGAAGATCATTAATGGAACGAGTCATGAAAGTAGAACCGGTAATGTCAATGTTCACGTATTAGCCAATCAAATCATCCGAAGGTGTTATGAAAGCCCTTTACGAACTACCACGTGGGTAACACACACACACACACACACACACACACACACACACACACACACACACACACACATATATATATATATATATATATATATATATATCTATGTCTGTTTAATACACTGGGTGATTTCATGTTTGTTACTCGGAGTTTCATGCACACACAAACACAATTGTTTAGTGCTGCAATCATCAGACAAACTAGGAAGAATGTCATGCTTTATGGGGAAATAGGAAGATATCCGCTATATATTAAGATATATAAAAGAATAATATCATTCTGGCATAAACTAGCTACAAACACTCTTAAAACGAAATTATCGACCCTTTTATTCAATTTCATTATATCTTCTCCTCCAAACACTTTACCTAAATTGAAAAGTTTAAACTTGTCAAACAGATCTTATATAATTGTGGACTCTCAGAAATGTATGATGAGCCGTTCCTATGTTCATCAGAATGTATGATTACCCGTCCCTATGTTCATCAGAATGTATGATTACCCGTTCCTATGTTCATCAGAAATGTATGATTACCCGTTCCTATGTTCATCAGCATGTATGATTACCCGTTCCTTTGTTCATCAGAATGTATGATTACCCGTTCCTATGTTCATCAGCATGTATGATTACCCGTTCCTTTGTTCATCAGAATGTATGATTACCCGTTCCTATGTTCATCAGAATGTATGATCACCCGTTCCTGTGTTCATCAGCATGTATGATTACCCGTTCCTATGTTCATCAGAAGATGATCACCCGTTCATATGATTATTACCGTTCCTATGTTCATCAGAATGTATGATTACCCGTTCCTATGTTCATCAGAAATGTATGATCACCCGTTCATATGTTCATCAGAATGTATGATCACCCGTTCATATGTTCATCAGCATGTATGATTACCCGTTCCTATGTTCATCAGAAATGTATGATTACCCGTTCCTATATATGTTCATCAGAATGTATGATTACCCGTTCCTATGTTCATCAGCAATGTATGATTACCCGTTCATATGTTCATCAGAATGTATGATTACCCGTTCCTATGTTCATCAGAAATGTATGATTACCCGTTCCTATGTTCATCAGAATGTATGATTACCCGTTCCTATGTTCATCAGAATGTATGATTACCCGTTCCTATGATCATCAGAATGTATGATTACCCGTTCCTATGTTCATCAGAATGTATGATTACCCGTTCCTATGTTCATCAGAATGTATGATCACCCGTTCTTATGTTCATCAGCATGTATGATCACCCGTTCCTATGTTCATCAGCATGTATGATCACCCGTTCATATGTTCATCAGCATGTATGATTACCCGTTCCTATGTC